CAAGCAGCATCAGAGAAGCAGGAAGGCTGACATAGGCCCGAAACGTCAGCCTTCCTGCTCCTCTGATGCTGCTTGGCCTGCTGTGTTCATCCAGCTCTACACCTTGTTATCTCAGATTCTCCAGCATCTGCAGTTCCTACTATCTCTGAATCAAATTGCATGGTTGGTCCTGGAGAAATTAGCAGGAGTGTGGGTCTGCGGTAGTGGAGTTGGGTGGGGGTGCTGGCGCTCAGGGAATCTTTCTACTCTCTCTACCAGCTGGACAAAATTTCATTCCCCAGGAGGGAGTACCAGCATAATTGGAGAGGTGATAGCCTGGTGGTATTATCAGTTGGCTATTAATCTAGAGTTTCTGGTAGATCTGAGTTTGAATCCTGCCCCAGGTGATGGTGGGATATGAGTTTGACTTTTTTTTTAAAAAGTCTGGAATTAAGAGTCTAATAAACATAAATTCATTGTCAATTGATGTGGAGAAAAAAACATTTGGTTCATTAATGTCCTCTAGGGAAGGAAACTGCCATCCTTACCTCGTCTGGCCTACATGTGACTCTTAACTTCCCTCTGGAATGGGCAATAAATGTTGTCCTAGCCAGTGATGCCCTCATCATGTGAATGAATAAAATAAATGATGATTTCTCTACAACTGTAATACTATATTCTGCATTCTGTTCTATTACCCTGATGTACTTTATATAAAGTATGATTTATCTAGTTAGCACACAAAACAATAATTTTCACTGTATCTTGGTAACTGACTATAATAAATCAAATCATCAAATCAAATAATCCGTAAATATCTACTCCCTCCAGCCCTGATGCTCAGTAGCAGCAGTGTGTACTATCTACAAGGTGCACTGCAGAAATTCACCAAAGACCCTTATGTAGCACCCCACAAAAGGACCACTTCCATCTAGAAGGACAAGTTGCATTAAATACTTGGGAACACTACGACCTTCAAGTTCCCCTTCAAGTCATCCTGACTTGGAAATATATCATCATTCCTTCAGTGTCATTGGGTCAAAATCCTGGGATTCCTTCCCTAATGGCACTGTGTGTCAACTTACAGCACATGGACTGCAGCGGTTCAAGAAGGCAGTTCATCACTGCCTTCCCAAGGGGCAACTAGGGATGGGGAATGTACCTGAATGCCCTGTGCAAATAAAGACAAACAATCCAACACATTTACCAGTTATTTTATTTTAATATCACAACACATGAAATATTTGCAATTACACTGGGATATTTTTTGGAAGCACAATCCAAGCTGCATTTGTTTTCCTCAAGAGTTTTTTCATTGAATCTTGACCTGAACTAGTTATAGAGGTTGACAGGTCCCTGATACGGTCTGAATGTAGATTTCACTCGTGTCAGTTTCTGAATTCCAGGTAGTGTGACCCCAGAATGAGAGGTCCAGATGGGACACTGTGTGTGTGAAACAAACAAGCTGATATTAAGTTTGGTTGACCCCAGTGGAGAGGGGTCCTCCATCAGCTGAACTCGATTGTGAAAATGAATTTCCTTCTCTCTTCCCATTCAGGGAGTGCTGCACTGCTAGAGGTGAAGTCTTTCAGATGAGAGCCCCTTAGGTGAACATGGAAGATCACGTGTTTCTGTTTGAAGTAGGCCTGGGCATTACTCCCTATTGTCCACGGGACATTAGCTATACATGAAGCATACCCTAAACAAAAAAATAATCAGAATGGCTGGTCATCACCGCACACAGGATCCTGGTATAGACAGCGTTCTGCATGTCATAAGAATGTAAGAATTTAAGAACTAGGAGCAGGAGTAGGCCATTCAGCCCTCGAGACTGCTCCACCATTTAATAAGCTCATCTCAGCCTCAACTCACTTTCCTGCTCATTCCCTGTAACCCCTTAACTCATTACTAATGAAAATATCTATCTGGATCTAAACTTACTGTGTCCCTGTGTCTCCTGCACTATGGGGAAGAGGTTTAGAGACTAATGGGCCAAATGCAGGCAAATGGGACTAGTTCAGTTTAGGAAACACTGTAGTGACTATAACGAGGTCAGTTAGGTGGACCTCATAGAGTATGAGGTCCCTGATTGAGACTATGAACCTGGTCCAATCAGGGAGCCCTGTCTGACAGATATAAACAGGAGTGTCAGGGGTTCTGTTCACTCTGAGAGCTGGGTCAATATCATGTACTATACATGTATAAATAGAGAGTGACTTGGTGATGGGATACCAGCCTTTGTGGAGGTACTTCAAGCTGGCTGGCACGGACGGGCTGGTTCTGTGCTGTTTGACATAATTTCTCCCCACCTGTCTTTTCACTCTGCCAGCCCTTATGCTAATCCTATGGCCACTTGTGGCAGTGGCCACACCTCTAAGAAAGCCCTTCATTGGCTGTGGAGCAGGTGAGGAGGCCTTGACATTGTGAAAGGTGATTCGAGAAATGTTAACCTTCTGATTCTTCACCCAGGTGAGTGGGGTGCCCCTACGATCAACGTTCGGTCAACGTACATTGGAGTCGTCATGGCACTGGGCACCAGTATCGGGTCCCTGGGGTCCTACATGATGTGTGCAAAGGTGATAGGCTGCCAGCATCCCCCTTCGGATGCCGCTAACCGAGGGATTTTCCTGGAGGGAGTGGGAAGCTGCATTGGCGCACTCTTGGGAGGTATCACCACGACGTCTTCCAGTGTCCCCGGTGTCGGAGCGTTGGCACTCACCCAGGTAAGAGGGTCGGTCTCATTTCTCCATGTGACTGTAGGCATGCACTACCCCCTCTCCCTAAAGCCCCTTCGTCATCGCCTCACACTGCACTGAAAAAGCCCATCAGTCATTCGACTCTGTGCTGACTCGGCTGCACTAACCCTGTTAAAAATCGAAAGAACTGCGATGCTGCAAATCAGGAACAAAAATGGAAGTTGCTGGAAAAGCTCAGCAGATCTGGCAGCATCTGTGAAGAGAAAAAATCAGAGTTAGTGTTTCAGGTCCAGTGACCCTTCCTCAGAACCTGATTCAGGTGAGGAGAAATTTCTTCACCCACGGAGTGGTGAGCCTTTCAAGTTCACTATCTCAGAATGCAGTCAAGGCCAATAGATTGTATGATCTCAAAAAGGCAATGGGGATAGCACTTGGGGCTAAAGGGATCAAGGGACATGGAGGGAAAAGTGGGAATAGGGTTGTGATAGCACTAAAGGGGGCTCAGAGGAGATTCACCCGGATGTTGCCTGGGATGGAACATTTTCAGCAATGAAAAGGTTGGATAAACTCAGATTGTTTTCTTTGAGAAAGTTGAGAGGTGACCTGTCTACGGTATATAATATTGTGAGGGGTATGGACAGGGTGGATTGAAAGCAAACATTGTCTTTCATTGAAAGCTCAATAATGAGGAAGCATAATTTTAAAGTGAAAGTTTAGAGGTTGTTTGAGGAAAAGAATTTTTACCTGGAGGGTGGTAGGGATCTGGAATGCACTGCGTGGGTGGGTAGTTGATGCGGGAAATCTCAGAACCTTTAAAATGTACTTGCATAACTGGAAATGTCATACTTGGAAATGTCATAACATGCAAAATATGGGCCTAGTGCCGGAATGTGGTGTTAGTGTAGATTTAGTGTAGCTTTGGTTGTACAGACATGATGGGCCAAAGGATCTCCTCTGCACTGTGTGATTCTATGAATTCCCTGTGATTCCATCATGTCATGAGTCTCGCCCTCTTGCCTTCAGTTGTCTGGTTCCTGACCTCTGACCTTCTCTCTGCAACCTCTCCGCCTCTGGAATGGAGACCATTCTTATTGGCTGAGCTGCTGCGAAATGTGTTACAAAGGGATGTAAATACTTGGTATTTTTTCTAATTCATTCATGGGATGTGGGCATCGCTGGCTAGACCAGTATTTATTGCCTATCTCTAGTTACCCAGAGGGCAGTCAAGAGTCCACATTTTGCTGTGGGTCTGGAGACACATGTAGGCCAGGCCAGGTAAGGATGGCAGATTTCTTTCCCTGAAGGACATTAGTGAACCAGATAGATTTTTACAATTGACAGTGGTTACATGATCACCATTAAACCAGCTTTTTTAATACCACATTTTTAAACGTGTCTTTTTTAATCTTGGAAGGATAAAATGGATGTTAATTTTGGGAGGGTGTTGATTTCCTTTCTTGTACGTTTGGTGACCTTGCCTGGGCCCTAACCTCTGGAATTCTCTCCCTCAGCCTCTTCCCCTCCTCTTCCTCCTCCTTGACAATGTTCTTTAAAACCTAACCCTTTGACCTTGCCCCTCACCCTCTCCTCATGTCTCCTTAATGTTGGGGTCAAACTCGTTCATTATGATCCCATGAACAGCCTCAGCAGGTTTTTTTTTAATTACTATGTTAAAGGTAATGCAAGTAGCAGTTTGTTTCAAGCCAGGTCAGTTGGCGAGGACCAAACCCAATAGAAGCTGCACACCTCAGGCAATTAATATGGAACCTGTTAAATTTGAGTTAAAAAACTTTGAGTGAAATTAGGGTTTCCACAGCCTTGATGACCCTGAACAATGCCATAACAATCAGGGCTATGGGCCTAGTGCAGCAAATGGGGACTAGCGCAGATAATAGTGTGGGTTTGGTGTTACAGACTCACATGGCTAAAGGGCCTCATCTGCACTGGTTAGATCACTTTTGGAATACTGCGTTCAGTTCTGGTCTCCCTGCTACGGGAAAGATGTTAAATTTGGAAGAGTGCAGAAAAGATTTACAAGGATGTTGCCAGGGTTGGATGGTTTGAGCTATAGGGAGAGACTGAATAGGCTGGAGCTATCTTCTCTGGAGTTTCGGAGGCTGAAGGGTGACTTTATCGAAGTTTATAAAATCATGAGGGGCATGGATAAGGTAAATAGTCAAGGTCTTTTCCCGAGGATATCCCCAGAGTGCAAAACTAGAGGACATAGGTTTAAGGTGAGAGGGGAAAGATGTAAAAGGGTCCTAAGGGGCAACTTTTTCACACAGAGGGTGGTGCATGTGTGGAATGAGCTGCCAGAGGAACTGGTGGAGGCTGGTACAATTACAACATTTCAAAGGCACCTAAAAGGTTCCTGAATTGGAAGGGTTTAGAGAGATATGGGCCAAATGCTGGCAAATGGGATTAGATTAATTTAGGATACCTGGTCAGCATGGACGAGTTGGACTGAAGGGCCTATTTCCCTGCTGTACATCTATATGACTCTCTATGATTCTATGATGAGGTGGGGCTTAAACAAGAGTCAGAGTGAGGTCTTATTCTAGGCTGTTGCGAATACAAGTAGGTGAGGTGGGGGTGGGGTGCTGGTGCAGAGGTTTGGGTAAAGAGTTTGGAGACAAAGTAGGATCGTTAGGTTGGCAGAAGGCCATTAGCAGAGGTGGTGGCATTGTTGTAATGTCACAGAGCAAACAATCCAGTATTCTCAGGCTAATATTCTGGGGAATAATGTTCTGGATCATTCCTGAAGAAGTCAGGCCGGACACAAAGTTAACTTGGTTTCTTTCTTCATAAATGCTTCCAGAACTTCTGACTTTCTCCAGCATCTCCTGTCATTGTTCTGGAGGTTGACTGTCACAATGGCAGATGGTGACATTTGAATTCCATTGAGACATAAAACTAGAATAGAAATCTAGCCTCATGGTAACCATTCTTGTAAAAGCCCACCTTCTTCACATTTCTGAAGAAGGGTCTAGGCTCGGAACGTCAGCTTTCCTGCTCCTCTGATGCTACTTGGCCTGCTGTGTTCATCTAGCTCTACACCTTGTTATCTCTTGTTCACTAATGTCTTTTTTTTTCCCCCCTCTATTCTTAACGGGATGAGGGCATCACTGACCAGGCCAGCATTTATTGCCCACCCTGAATTGCCCAGAAGGCAGTTCAGAGTCAGCCACATTGCTGTGGATCTGGAGTCACATGTAGGCCAGACCAGGTAAGGATGGCAGTTTCCTTCCCTTAAGGACATTAGTGAACCAGATGGGTTTTTCCCTAACAATCAACAATGGATTCATGGTCATCGTTAGATTCTTAATCCCAGATAAAAACCAAAAGAACTGCGGATGCTGTAAATCAGGAACAAAAACAAAGTTGCTGGAAAAGCTCAGCAGGTCTGGCAGTTTCAAAATGTTAACTCTGCTTTCTCCTCCACAGATACTGCCAAGCTTTTCCAGCAACTTTGTTTTAATTACAGATATTTATTGAATTCAAATTCCACCATCTGCCATGGCAGGATTTGAACCCAGGTCCCCAGAACATTACCTGGGTCTTTGGATTAACAGCCCAACGATAATACCACTAGGCCATCGCCTCACCCTTAAGAGAAGGAAATCTACCATAATTACCTGGTCGGGCCTACATGCAACTCCAGACCCACGGCAATGTGGTTGATTCTGGGCACTTAGGAATGGGCAATAATTGCTGGTCCAGTCAGAGACGCCCATGTCCCATGAATGAATAAAACAAAAACCTTGTGACAAAAGAGTAGGATGTTGGGAGTGGCAGGTATGACTGTAGTAACTTCTATTCTGTAGTGCCCACAATGTGGTGCTACAATGTCGCAGGGTACTTCATAGGAATGATCAACACTCAGAAAGCGGGGCAAAAAGAGAAGAGGCTTTAAGGCAGGCTTTTTCAAAGAGGTTGATTTTGAGGAGTGCCTGAGAGACAGAGAGACAAAGTGATTTAGGGAGAAAAAGTAGGTGCTGAGGCAGCTGAAGTGACAGCACCCAGGGGTGAGAGGGAGGGAAGTGTCCAAATTAGAGAAATGTAGGTCAGGGTTGTAGAGCCAGGGGAGATTAATAGGTTTTGGGAAGATGAGACCAAGCAGGAATACTTACGTGCCATTGAGGCCCTCAGGAAGAACTGAGGAGTGTGAATTGGTAGTAGGCCTATTATCACTAGACTATTAATCGAGAGACCTAGGTAATGCTCTGGGGACCTGGGTTTGAATTCTGCCGCAGCTGTTGTTGGAATTTGAATTTAATAAATATCTGGAAATAATGGTGACCATTGTCGATCATCAGGAAAAAACCCTCTGGTTCACTAATGTCCTTTAGGTAAGGAAACTGCCATCCTTATCTGGTCTGACCTATGTGTGACTCCAGACCCACAGCAATGTGGTTGACTCTTAACTACCCTCCCTACCTTAAGTAGGGATCAGCAGTGAGTCCTGGTCTAGCTAGAGATTCCCAGATCCTGTGAATGAATAAAAAAAATCCCTCCAACTCACATCCTTATTACCGCCATGTACCAGAAGGTGGAAAAGCAGGAGCATGAGGCTAGCACAGAGACAGGTATCAGGGAATAGCTAAATAAGTAACAGCCTCAAACTGTAAAAGGGAGATCTACAGCATGATAGAGGAATGATCGAGGAAGAGTGACCATGTTTGCAGGAGTCATATGACAACAAACACTGTATTAATCAGAATCATTAGTCAATTCTAGAGCCAATAACCTATCACACATGCAAGTAATGAAATCAAGTGTCAAAGGTGTGTGGAGCCAATTCTACACTGCCTGACTCAGGAATGTTAATTGACGGTAATAATTATTTTCATTGGGAACTTGTCGAGTGATTTAGGAAAACCTGTGACAATAAATTGACAAGGCCTTGGAAGAAAGCCACAGGACACTGAGTACAATGACAATAGAAACTCTGGGTAGTTGTGTGTGAGCACCTTATCACCGTATCTCCCCTGGAGTTTCGCACAGGTTCTGAAGGTTTCAGGGCGGAATTCCAAATGGGTGAATCTCGCATTTTCTGTTCATGAATATGAAGTCTTCATTCATACAGCGGTGGGGGAGGGAGTGTAAACTCACTTGGCCGAATGGCCTGCTTTCACACCGTAACATTCTGTGGCATGTTGTCCTCTTGTGGAAAGGGATCAGAAGGAAGATTTGAGTCGGTATTGGGCCTCACACATCAGTCCATTTGGAAGTGTAATCACTGTTGTAACACCAGACACAAAACATCCAAATTGTGCATTTTAAGCTCCCACAACAGCAAGATATGCACCTCTTTTAGCAACGTTTGTTGAGCATAAATATTGGTCAGGAGAACTCACCTATTCATCTTCAAAGTATTTAAGGAAAATGTCATTTGAATGGAGGCACCTCAGACCGTACATGAGGATGGTCCCTGGTTTGGAGGGATTGCTTTATGAGCAAAGGCTGAAGCTTAGAAGAATGAAATGTGATCTTGTTGAAATGTATCGGATTCTGAAGGGACTTGAGATGTTAAAGGTCGAGAGGATGTTTCCCCCTCCTGGGAGGGTCTAGGACCAGGGCGCATAGTCTCAGAATAAAGAGGTGGCAATTTAAGACTGAGATGAGGAGGAATCTCTTCTCTCAGAGGGGTGTGAGACTTTGGAACACTTTGTCACAGAGCTGTGTAGGTTGAGTCCTTGTGTATATTTAAGGCTGAGATAGATTCTTGATCAGTCGGGGAATCAGGGGTTATGGTGAAAGAGCAGGAACGTGGACTTGAAGAATGCTGGATCAGCCACGATGGTAATGATTGGCGGAGCAGGCCAGAAGGGCTGAATGGCATACTCCTGTTCCTATTTGTTATGGTCTTCTCATGCCCGGGATCCTTTCCATCCACCTGAGGGAACAATCAGGACCTCAGCTCAATGTTTTAGCTGGAAAACAACATCTGTGACAGGGTGGATGTTGAAAAGAGCTTATGCTTTTCAGATGAGAACATGGGGACACCATTTATAAACAAGTTGTCTCCCATTAAGATGGACAATGTTTTTCTCTCAGAGGTTCAGGATTGCATGGAGCTCTCTTTCTGCAAGGTATTCGGGTGAGGGTCATTAAATAGCTTTAAGATGGAGGTAGATGGATTCTTCAAAACCAGAAATTGCTGGACAAGCTCAGCAGGTCCGGCAGCATCTGTGGAGAGAAAGCAGAGCTAACATTTCTCTCTACAGAGACCTGCTGAGCTTCTCCAGCAATTTCTGATTTTGTTTTGGATTTCCAGCATCCATAGTCCTTTGTTTTATTTTATAGTAAACGGATTACGACAGACAGGGGTCTCTCAAAGGGTGTCGAGATCAGCAGAAAGGTGGAGTTGAAGCCATTATCAAATCAGCAATGATTTTATTAAATAGTAGGGCCAGCTTGAGGGGGCTGAATGCCCTACTCCTACTTCTAAACCAAACATTTCTCTGTGTATTTGCACTCCCTCAGTGTTGCTCTGAGTGTTAGTAATGACTATGAGTTCAATTTGCAGGGATGGTACTTGATCCCAACACTTTCTGGATGAGAGGGGTTGATGCTACCTCGAACCATGACTGAGAAAGCCTCACAAGGAGGGAAGCAGATTCCTCTTTGAGAAAGAGGATCAAAAATAAACAGGTTGAGAATTGAAGTAGGAGGCACGCAGTGAAAACAGCAATACTTCCTTGACAGAATGCAGGAGCTATCTCTGCACTGGGAAGACACAACAGGATGAGACTGAAGGCATCTCTGCAAGGTTTTGATTTGTAATATTGCAACTGTTCCCTCTCCACTGAAATCTCTGTCAGCTGCAGTTTGATGAGTTACACTCCTGAGTCTACACATTGTGAGTTCACTTGTGTACATATTCTAGTCTGACAGCTCCGATGCAGTGCTGGTTGAATGCTACACTGTCACACATGCATGAGGCATTAAACCAAGGCTGGCTGTACCTTCTAGGTTGTGTAAGATCCCATGGCTCTACTCCAAGAAGTAGTAAAGGAGTTTTCTCCGATGTCCAACAGTCAACCCTCAACCTACATCACTGAAAATAGATAATCAATATCTGCTCATTAAAAGCAAAGCCACCATGATCCCAGAGGGCTGGTTTCTCATTAGTGAGAGATGACTGGTGCTGGTTTGACCTGAGGGTCACTACACCTCAGGCAAGGGGAGAGGTTGAGAAGGAGAGGTATTGATGATAACCTCAGCCAGTGCAGGAATTGAACCTGTGTGTTAGTGTCACTCTGCATCATAAATAGAGTATCCAGCCAACTGAACTATCCAACCCCCTATGCCAGTACCAGAAAATGTCTCTGGGTTTTTGATGCTACGGTATACCAGACACGCTTCCAGCACTATTACCGTACCTCATTGAATAAACCATCTTTGAGAGTAAAGTGCTTTAGGATGTTCTGAGGTCATGAAACGTGCTATGTAGATGTAATTCTTTCTCTCTCTATACACCTGTATATAATTTAATACGCTGCTTTCGAATCACGTGAGTAGGTAGCTCAGTATGCGGTGGTTACAAATGAGAAATCATTTTACCCTAATTAACTTTGATTCTATTTTCAAATCCATAAATTCAATCATCTAGTCAAGTTGTTCTAGTCAGGGTGGCCTCCCACAATTTTAAAATTCTGAATTGTCATGTTCAACTCTCTCCATGGCCTCTCCCTCCCTCACTCTCCTATCAGGATAGGTACATAGATGGGATTGGTATGGAGGGATAAGTACCAAATGTGGCCAAAAGGGACTAGTTTAATTGTGAAAACTGGACAGCATTGGACAAGTTGGGCCAAAGGGCCTGTTTCCATGTTGTAAACCTTTATGACTCTTCGACCTTTTCTAGCCACACAGGTTCTCAGTGTTCCACCAGTTCTGGCCCATTGGCGGCCATGCCTTCAGAGGCCATAAAGCTCTGAAACCTTCTCCTTTGACCTCTCCACGACCTCTGGATGGTGCTCTCTTCTCTTTTTAGACCCAGCTGATAAAATAACCTGTTTTGACCAAATTTGTGGTCAGTTGCCCTCACATCGCCAAATGCAACTCAGTGTCAAACTGTGCCTGGGAAATGTTCCTGTGTAGGTTTTACATCAAGTTGTATATGATTTCCAGAAACAGGGGCTCGCGGTCTTAGGATATGGAGTAGGCCATTTAGGATTGAGATTGGGAGAAATGTCTTCACCCAGAGAGTGGTGAGCGTATGGAATTTCTGCCACAGAAATCGGTTGAGGCCAAAACTTTGAATGTTTTCAAGAAGGAGTTAGATATATTTCTTAGGGCTAAAGGGACCAAAGAGAATGGAGAGAAAGTGGGAGCACGGTACTGAGTTGGGAGGTCTCCCATGATCATTCTGAATGGCAGAGCAGGCTCAAAGGGTGAATAATCTAGTCCTGCTCCTATTTCTGCTCCCTATTTCTATGTTTCTGAATTTTTGTGACCAGCACCTATGTTGACTCCCATTACCATTCCCTTCTCATTCTGCAGGCTGAATCCCGGCATTCCATCCAGATTGCAGCTGTGCTGTGTATCCTGCTCGGAATGTCAACCAAGCTGATGTACCTCCTGACGACCATTCCAGCTGCTGTTCATGGTGAGTTCCATTCCTGCCTTTTGGAGACAGCGTTGTGACTGGCATGGGGCTGTGTGGCAAAGGGACTGGGGGCTCGTGCAGAATGGTTACTGTCGGATAAAACTTTCCAAGGCTGAATTCCCAAAATTCCCACTGGCCAGGCATTGAACCCTCTGAGCACAGTGAAGGAGCACTCAATAACACAAACCAATGCTGACCAATAATAATAAAGACGTGGAAATCATAAATAATACTCCGTCAAGGATGGGGTAATGTTTGTAATGGGGTGTAATACAGAGGGGCACATTAAAGTGGTGTGTTATCTAGGATCAGATGTGTTATTTTGGGATGTGTAACTTAGAATTGGGAGTTTGGGGATATGTGTCTTGGGAATTTACTTCATGTTCATTCATGGGATTTAGGCATTACTGGCTACACCAGTAATTATTGTCCACCCCTAACTGGTCATGAGGGTGGTGGTGAGCTGCCTTCTCGAACCACTGTAGTCCATGTGATATAGCTTGACCCATAACAATGTTAGAAACAGTGTTCCAGTATTTTGACCCAGCGACAGTGAAGGAAGGGTGACATGTTTCCAAGTCAGGATGGTGAGTGGCTGAGAGGGGCACTTGCAGGCGGTGGTGTTCCCATGTAGCTGCCGCCCTTGTCCTTCTAGATGGAAGTGGTCATGGATCTGGAAAGTGTTGTCTAAAGATCTTTGGTGAGTTTCTGCAGTGCATCTTTTAGATAGTACACACTGCTGCTACTGAGCATCGGTGGTGGAGGGAGTGGATGTTTGTGGATGTGGTGCCAATCAAGTGGGTTGCTCTGTCCTGGATGGTGACAAGCTTCTTGAGTGTTGTTGGAGCTGCACCCACCCAAGAAAGTGAAAAATAACCCATCACACTCCAGACTTATGCCTTGTGGATAGTGGACAGGCTTCGGGGATACAAGGTTCCTAACCTCAGACTTGCTCTTTTAGCCACAGAGGTTATATGGCTAGTCTAGTTCCATTTCTGGTCGACGGTAACCATCAGGATGTTGTTGTCAGGCGTTTAGCAATGGCAACACCATTGAACGTCAAGGAGCAATGGCGAGATTGTCACTTGTTGGAGATGGTTATTGACTCTGGGGTGGCATGGGTGTTACTTGCCAATTACCAGCTCAAGCCTGGATGTTGTCAAGGTCTTGCTGCATATGGACACAGATTATTTCAGTATCTAAGGTGTTGTGAATTCTGCTGGACATTGTGCAATCATCAGTAAACATCCTCATCTCCAACCTTATGATGGAGGGAAGGTCATTGATGAAGCAGCTGAAGATGGTTGGGTCTACGACACTACCTTGAGGAACTCCTGCAGAGATTTCTTGGAGCTGAGACGACTAACCTTCAGCAACTACGACCATCTTCCTACATGCTAGGCATGATTACAGCCAGCATCCAGATTTCCCCCAAATCCCATTGACTCCAATTTTGCTAAGGCTCCTCAATGTCACCCTGTGGTGAAAGGGACCTCAAGGGCAATCATCTGCACCTCACCTCTGGAGTTCAGCTCTTTTGCTTGAGTTTGGACCAATGCTGTGGTGAGGAAGGAACTGAGTCACCCTGGATTAGAACCCAAACTGAAGGTCAACAGCTTTTTAAAAATTTTTGCACTGGAAAAGGCTGTTATTTGTTGCTGTTTAATTGCCCTTGAACTGAATGATTTGCCAGTCCACTTCAGAGGGCAGTTAAGACTCACCCACATTGTTGTGGGTCTGGAGTCACATGTAGGCCAGACCAGGTAAGGATGGCAGTTTCCTTCCCTAAAGGACATTAGTGAACCAGATGGGTTTTACGACAATTGACAATGGTTACATGGTCATCATTAGACCGACTTTTAATTTTAGAGTTTACGAAATTCAAATTTCACTATCTGCCATGGTAGCATTCAAATCCTTGTCCTACACTCCTGGATTACTAATCCAATGGCACTACCACCCTTGTAATGTTTCAAATATTTTATCTAGGGTGTGCTATTGGAGGATGTTCTTTGGTAGTGTTATATTGGGGCTTTTTATGTTGGACAGTGCTGTATTGAATGTTATATTCTGGATGTTAGGTAGGGGTGTTCAATATGGGATGTCATATTAAGGCAGTGTTATATTGGCAGATATAATATTCAGGGGTGTTATTGTGGGGACTTGTTATATTGAGGGACATAATATTTTCAGTATGTTATTTATAGTGTGTTATATGATAATGTCTTATATTGCTGATATGCATTTGGAGAGATGTTACATTGGGGTGTTTCTTTGTCAGTTTGGGAGGTGTTATTTGTGGAGAGTTTGTTATATGGCAATATTATTTGGGAATGTGTTATATTGGGGAATGTTATATTGGGGAATGTGTTATATTGGCAGTGTGTGATTTGGGGAAGATTGTATGACAGTGTGTAATATTGAGGATGTTTTATATTGTGTTGTACTATTGAGGGAGTGTTATATTGGGGATGTTGTGTACGGGATATATTATGTAGAGGGACTCATGTTATATTGTGAGCCTATTATATTGAATTGGTGATGTATTTTTAAGGGGGATTTTATCCCCAGCTTGATTTGGAGCTGAGTGTTTGACTCCCTCAGTGAATAACCTGTTCATGTTGTACAGGTGGAGTCCTCAGTGTCACATATACAATGGCGGTGTCTGTCGGTGTCTCATATTTCCAATACACAAACATCGACTCCGGTCGGAATATCTTCATCATCGGATTTACTATGTTCATGGCACTACTCACCCCTCACTGGTTCATCCGCAACCCAGATTACATTGTAACAGGTAAAAAAAGGCTTGTTAAACCCATGTGTACACAATGTTGTGAGGTTAAACTGATATGGGCCTTGTTATGCTCACAGTTAGAGTCGTTCTCAAGGTCAAAGCTGCATTTACAAACTAACCAAACTTTCTGCTGGTGCTATTGTCATTGACTTAAATATTTCTCAACATCACAAAGCCTTCAATGCACCCCCATAAATACATTAAATAAACTCTCAAACCTAAATCTGCCCTGGAGGTGTTTAATCGGACAAAGAAAGATTTACTCTGTATCTAACCCCATGCTATACTTGTCCTCAGATTGTTTGATGGAGAGTGAGTAGAGGTAGCTCTGCTCTGTATCTAACTCTGTGATGTCCCTTTCCTTGGATTATTTGATGGAACAGTGTAGATGCAACTTTACTCTGTATCTAACCCCATGTTATCCCTGTTCTGAGAATTTATTGATGCGGGCAGTATCTTTACTTTCAGTTTAAAACCGTAACAGAAACTTTACAGCCAGATTAAAAGGGCAGAGGAAGTTTTATGCTCTCTCTAAACCCATGCTGTACCTGTTCTAGGAGTGGTTGATGGAGACACAATCTGTGCTTTCGGTTTAAAAGAGTAGAAAGAGCTTTACTTTGCATTTAACCCCGTGCTGTATCTGTCCTTGGAATATTTAAGGATAATGTACAGGAAGCTATACTTCCATTCAAAAGAACAGAGGGCTCTTTATTTTCAGTTTACAGTAGCAGAGGGATCTTTACTTTCATTTAACATGAGTAAGGAGTTTTTGCTTTGTATTTAACCCGTGCTGACCTTGTTCTGGGACTATTTGATAGGGACAAAGTAGACGGAGCTTTATTTTCAGTTTAAAAGAATAGAAGGAGCTTTACTCTGCACCTAACCGCATGCTGTCTCTTTCCTGGGAGTGTTTGATGGTGATGGTGTAGGGGAAATTTTACACTGTATCCAACTCTGCATTCTGCCTATCCTGGAAATGTTCTTTTTGAAAGAGTTGAGGATTTCTGCCTCAACACCAAACTGAGCAAGTGACTTCCAGACACCCAGTACCCTCTAGGTGGAACAAATTTCCCTCATGTGCCCTCAAATCCTTCTATCAATCATCTTCTGTCTGTGGCCCCTGGTAATTGACCAGTCCGCTAGGGGAAATGGGTCATCCCAGCTCCTATGCTACAACAAGCAAATGCATTTCTAAATCAGTAAACCATTCTGGAATGTGCTGAGGTAGTGAAGGCGCTATATAAATGCAAGCTTCTTATTAAATGTTAAGTCAGTGACAGATCTTCTTATTTCTCCCTGAATGGTTGTGTGTAGGTATTAAGAGTGTGGACATCTTTCTTCTGGCCTTGTTTATGATGCCCGTCATTCAAGGAGGGATTCTTGCCTTTCTCCTGGACAACACTGTTACAGGTGAACTTGCAAAACTACAGATATCAAACAACTTGTTTTTGGGTGGGTAACGGCTCTGGCTGGGTTACAAGGCAAGTGCACAGTCATAGATTAAATATGTTATACTCATTCATTGTTCAACAAATGCTACAGGAGGAAAGATCTTGAGGTCAAAAGAATAGGAGCAGGAGTGAGTTACTTGGCTTGATCCACCATCTGATCTAACTGTGGCCCAAACCCCATTTTCAACCCTGTCCCCTATAACCAAGGGTGCTGACTGGCAAGTTGATTCTGATTGGTTAAGGTGTTGCCACCTTAAAAAAAAAGTGAGGAACTATAGGCTCCTTCCGCTCCTGGGTAATTCTAAAAAGGAATAAGGCTTGAACACCCCACTTTTGTTGCAGAGATTGAGTCCCTGAGGATGAATGAATTTCTTCTGGCAGGTATAAACGAGCCATATTATGAGCTTGGCTGGTTATCTTGAATTGGCTGTTAGTTCAGCTATTGGCACATTTAGGATTATTCTACAATGCTGCCTTAAATTGAAATCTCATCTAGCAGCTGGTGTTTTGTTTGTGGTTTTGCAAAGCTGGCTGGTTGAGTACAGGAATGAGTTGTTTATTCAGACTGTCCAGCTAGTATCAAGGCAAAACTGAAAGCTTATAACGTGGTACATTCACACTCTCTGAAAAGGATGTAGATTCATGTGTAGTGACACATTCTCTGAAGACAAAAGTGAAATAACTCCACAAAGACCAGTATCTTGTTGCCCACTCACCCTTTATTTAGAAGTGTACCATAAATAGACCCTGACCGGCCAGCTCAGAATCAGTGCTTAGAGTGAGGGGAATCTCTGACACTCTGTTTATATCCGTCAGCCAGGGCTCCCTGATAAGACCAGATTAACAGCCCCAGTCAGGGACCGCATGCTCACCTGGCCCTCATTCCAATCAGTACGAAAGGGATATGTTCAAGCTCTCAAATTACCCACAGGAGCCCAAGATACTCCATAGCTTGGCAATGCCTCAGCCAATCAGAGTTGACGTGCCAACCAGTCAGCACCCCTTCCTCCTGGCCTCTAAATTTTTGTGATCGTTTGAAATTTGACATTCTTGCATTTCTCCTGATCAGGCCAAGGCGAAAATCTTCAGTAACAGATCTCCGTTTTCAGCAAAGTCCCGATGGTATGAAATGGGCAAAGGAGGAGAGAGCATGAGAGACAACAAGGTGCAGGGCTGGATGAACACAGCAGGCCAAGCAGCATCATAGGAGCAGAGAGGCTGACGTTTCGGGCCTAGACCCTTCATCAGAAAGGGGGAGGGGAAGGGGGTTTTGAAATAAATAGGGAGAGAGTGGGAGGCGGATAGAAGAGGGATAGAGGAGAGGATAGGTGGAGAAGAGAGCATGATGTTTTCTTTGTGCAGTAATTGCTAGAATGAGCTGAATTTGTCTGCACGGCCCTCCATCTGCCTCAACCCTCATCAAGCCCCACCAGCTGGCCACCAACCAGCCAGGTTCAGACAGGAAAGGACTTCCTTGCCCCTTTAACTGCGGTCACAGGGAGAGAAAAACTCTGAAGTGCGTAAAGGTTCACCATGCCTCTTGGTTGCTCTCTCTGAAATTCCCGGCCCTTCAGCACAATCATTCTGATGCAATTAGGGCTTTTAGTTTTTACTGCTCTCTCACAAACCCCCAAGGCCTGAACGATTGTTTCAAATAAAAGGGAGAAGGAGAAGTTGTTCTGGCTGATTGGGAATAGTGTGTGTGTGTGTGTGTGTGTGTGTGTGTGTGTGTGAGCGACTATGTAGCGAGATGCACACTCAGCTACAGGCTGACTAACTGCTGAGGGAAGGGCACTGTAAAACTCTGTGAACCAGAACAATCTTTTATGATTGCTAACAACCTCGTGTTTGTATAAAGTAATAAAAATTAACATCCCTAATTGCATGAGAAAAACCCTCACCCAGCTGACTACTGACTGAACTGAGTCAACAAGGGAGATTTGTATGGGAACTGGGTGGGGAAGTTGTGGAGGGGAGAAAGGTGTGCTTGCTGGGCGAGGAGTGGGGTCTGAATGTGGGTGCGATGAGGGGGTGCCATGAAAGTCCTGAATAAGGGAGCAGAAGTCATTTATCTTGTCACTTATGCTGGAAGTTCTACATTCTGGCATGGCAACGCACCTTGTACTCACTGCTCAACATTGGCTCTCCATCTCCTTATGGTTTAGTTTTAAGATTTTCATCTTTGTTTTCAACTCCCTCCACAACTTCTCCTCCCCACCTCCCTCCAGCCAAAAAATAATAAAAATAAAAAGAACTATGGATGCTGGAAATCAGAAACAAAGTCAGAAACTAAGCAGATCTGGCAGCATAGCATCATAAAGACATACAGCACGGAAATAGACCCGTCGGCCCAACTCGTCCATGCTGACCAGATATCCTAATTTAATCCAGTCTCATTTGTGAATATTTGGCCCATATCCCTCTAAACCCTTCCTATTCATGTACCCATCCTGATGCCTTTTAAATGTTGTAATTGTACCAGCCTCCACCACTTCCTCTGGCAGCTCATTCCATACACGCACCGTCCTCTAAAAAAAGTTTCCCGTTTAGGTCCCTTTTAAATCTTTCCTCTTTCACCTGAAACCTATGCCCTCTAGTTTTGGATTCCCCTACCCTGGGAAAAAGACCTTGACTATTCACCCTATCTATGCCCCTCATGAATTTATAAGCCTCTATATGGTCACCCCTCAGCCTCCAACGCTCCAGGGAAAATAGCCCCAGTCTGTTCAGCTCTCCCTGTAGCTCAAACCCTTCAATGCTGGCAACATCCTTATAAATCATGGGTGGAGAGAAATCAGAGTCAATGTTTCAGGTCATAAAGTTGTAGAGGTCTACAGCACTGAAAAAGGCCATTCAATCCATTGAGGATGTGTCAGTCAAAAACAACGACCTAATTATTTTAATCCCACTGTCCAGCACTTAACCTTCTATATCTTCTATATCTTGGTAGTAGTTGTTAGATGTGACAATGGCCACATCCTAACAAACCACTTTGCCAAGGCGATCAAATAAGTCGAAAGTAGTCACTGGATCATTTAACCTCAGCAACTTAAAGTGATCCCTCTCCAGAACACCTCCGTGCTCCTCTAAAGTCTGGGCTTGTCACACATCCTCTGGTGGCTGTGCTTCCGGTGATCAGGCCAGGACTCTCTGCAGCTGCTTCACCGAGGGAATGCCGCACTGTCAGCAGTGCCACCTTTAGGATGAGGTATCATATCAATAGCTTCTCTGCCTTCTCGCCTGAAATCAGCGTGATTTCATATAGGAGCAAAGATGTTGTCCCTCATCTGCTGTCTCTAAAAACAGATGCTGTTTGGAGGGGCTTGGTTTGCGCAAATTGACTGACAGATTTCATCATGCAGGGTCTCTGGTGCAGGAATGGGTGATTAGGCCCAAATAGTCCATGTCAGCATTTATTCTCAAGCTTCCTCATCCATAACTAAATCTTAACCCCTCATTCTGTTCTCAATAAAGAGTCTGTCTTTTCCTTTAAACACATTTACACCTCAGCCACCCTCTTGTGGGAGTTTGTTATGCACTCCGGTAAATAAACTTCGACCGAATTCCAGGGCAACGAATATTACCAGCAATGTCCACTCAGCATCTCTGAGTAACAAATCATATTTATTGATTTCTTTTCACGAGTTGTGAGCATCATTGCTGGGCCAGCTTGTATTGCCCATCCCTAGTTGCCCTTGAGAAGGTGGTAGTGAGCTGCCTTCTTGAACCACTGCAGTCCATTTGGTGTAGGGACACCAACACTGCTGTTAGGGAGGGAGTGAGATTAAAGGAGTCACAGTAGACAGGGTGCTGAAGAAGGCGTTTGGGACACTTGCCTTCATTGGTGGGTGCATTGAGTTGGGAGTTCATGTTGCAGCTATACAGGACATTGTTTAGGCCACTTTTGGAATACTGTGTGCATCTCTGGTCGTCCTGCTATAGGAAGGATGTTGTTAAATTTGAATGAGTCTCAAAAGATTTATAAGGATGTTACCAGGGTTGGAGGGTTTGAGCTATAGGGAGAGGCTGAATGGGCTGGGGCGATTTTCCCTGGAGTGTCGGAGGATGAGGGGTGACTTTACAGAGGTTTATAAAATGATGAGCGTTATGGATAGGGTGAATAGCCAAGGTCTTTTCCCAGAGTAGGGGAGTTCAAAACTTTTAAGGTTTAAGGTGAGAGGGAAAAGATAGGAAAGGGACTTAAGGAGCAACTTTTTTCACGCAGAGAGTGGTGCGTGTATGGAATGAGCTGCCAGAGGAAGTGGTAGAGGTTGGTACAATTACAACATTTAAAAGGCATCTGGATGGGTATAAAGAATAGGAGGAGTTTAGAGGAACATGGGGCAAATGCTGGCAAATGGGGCTGGGTTAATTTAGGATATCTTGTTGACATGGACAAGTTGGATAGAAGGGTCTGTTTCCATACTGTACAGCTCTATGTCTCTATGATAGACGTTGACCAAGCTACAAATGTCAAGCTTTCAAAGTTTGACAAGAATGAGATGATTTCGCAATATAAATACAGATAAGGTCACTCTCTATTAAATTCACAACAGACAAGTAACCTGCACAAAGTCAGTATTTTATTCATTTGCAGGATGTGGGTGTTACTGTTCAGGTCAGCATTTATTGCTCAGCACACAGTTAACAGTGAGCCACAATGCTGTGGGTCTGGAGTCACCCGTAATCCTAATGAGGTAAGGATATGGCAAATTCCCTTCGAAGGACATTAGTGAACCAGATGGATCTTTACACCGGCCACAATCACCATTAGGCTATTTTTATTTGATTTTTATTTGAATGTCACCGTCTGCTCTGGTGGGAATTGAAACGACATCACAGGCTGGGGTTTTAAAGATTATTTTGAGTGGCATTACCATGATGGTACCACCTCAATTAAGTACAGTCAGTTCAACATAGTAAGTGACACCATTCCCTCAGTCCTCATGTTAGGACCAA